AATACTCTCTCTCTCTCTCTCTCTCTCTCTCTATATATATATATATATATATATATAACCTAATAAGTAAATTTCTCAAGTCTCTCCCCCTCTCTCTCTAAATAAGTAAATTTCTCAAGTCTCTCCCCCTCTCTCTCTAAATAAGTAATTATTTGAAGTCTCACTCTCTCCTCTCTAATAAGTAATTGTTCAAAATTTCTCTCTCAACTTCGTTTAAGAAGGCCACAAAGCAACACCCAAGCCACAATTTTGCCATTGTTCTTCTGTTCCCATCTTCAATATTTTTTTTGGCCTTAAATTTCGCGATCAAGGTAGGTAGTGGGTACTTAGAATTTTCATCACAAACTAGAAATCATTTGCTGGCTTGGAATTTTACTCAGCTGAAAGAAAAGATAAACAAACTTTTTATTCCCTGCAACCTAAAACCAGTATTTCACAATTGCAGGTTCCAAATTGGACTCTTTACAACGGTGTGGTTTTCCATTGATGACGTGTACAATAAGAAAAACCTCTCAACCACCTCATCTTCACTGATTTACAAAGGACCAACATCCTCATCTCTACTTACATAGGCTTCTCTGCTCCACTAACTACCTGGGCTCTTGTTTTAAACGGAGACCAGGGTTACCAAACATGAGAGCCTGCAAATGCAACTAAAAACACGCAAAAATTAAAACAAGAAAAATGGCAAATTGATAAGCATGCGGTTATATAAGTCAACAATCTTTTCTTGTAAAAATAAAATTGCGATATTCTATATTGTCCATTTTAGTTAGACGGAGTAGATTTGACGTACCATTTAAAACTGCACGTCTCTTACGACAATGTCAAATTTGCACCATTCAATTAAAATAGATGGTTTAGATTATTGCAACTTTACTTCTACAGGTAAGGTCGCCGCCTTATATCAACTATGTTTAAATAACTTTAGATACAAAGGAATGCTCTCTCTCTCTCTCTCTCTCTCTCTCTCTCTCTCTCACGCGCACACACACACACACAAAAGGTTCCATGTACATGCCTTCATGTATAGCTTCGGATGAGACCATGGTTATGGTTCTTAATCAAATAATCGTTTTTTATGAAAATGTGGTTATGTTTCCTAGTCCGATATATAGGAGTTTTTGAACTGCAAAAGCTGTTCAATAATAGAAGTCATCTTCTTCAAAGTCCATAACAGCTTACTTGAGAAGTATTTGGTAGCAGGGCACTAGCAAGTTGTTCGTTTATCCCAAATGTTAGTGGTGGCATCTGGCTCATAATACCAGGCATAGTTCTCATACTGCAAACACAAGAAAAATCGAAGTTAAAGCATGGTTACCACTATAAGAGATGAAATGCTGAAAGATGACACGGCTAAGACAGTTAGAAATTGATGCCACAAGCACAAACTTTCTCACATACTCGCTCAAGATTGCTGCAATATTGTCCCGTGTACGACAGAATAGCTCAATGTTGTCCTGTATCTGCTTCAAATTAACATCTTTTATCCATCAGGGCAGTGTACAGAATTCTTCAAAATTTGCCTCTGGTTAAGGCAAAAATGGACAACCTTGAAAAACAACATTCCTTGCCAAAATTGGGCCATGGGTATATGAATGATCCAGCCCACAATCACCATAGTAAATCAAAAGGACAGATGCAAACGCAAAACTAGAGATTAATAAAACTCTCTCCAAGGCCGGTCCAAAAGTGAGCGAACAGTATTAGAAAAGTCTTCATACTTCTTTTTAATTTTTTTATCAGTAAAAAAGAAAATGTGGGAGAAACATTTTTCTCAAATTTGAGTAAAAACATAGTTCATTTCTTGATTTGCTCCCAGAAGTTTTTTTCATGTAAAAAACGAAAGTAATCTTGATGGAAACTAAGGTTAACAGGAAACTAGGTTTTGGGATTTTAAGCAACTGCAACTTTTGTCCCTTCACCTTAATTTTTAATTTCTACATATTTGACGATAATCCATCACTCATGAAAAAGGAAGAGCAAACATAAGCACCACTTCTAATAGCGATTACCAACTTCAGCCAGATACGATGTTCCATTATTGACAGTTGAGATTGCAATCACCTTTTCTACCTTCGATGCTCAGAAAGAGCAACTCTACTAATGAGAATGCAAGAAACATAATCACACATTTCAATTATAAGCCTAAACTCAACATAGGCAAACTCCCTTTGCTGGCAATCCACTAGAAAACAGTAGCTAAACAAAATCCCCAATTCATTAAATGGCAAACTTTGACCAATGACCAAATCAAATTTACCGAGCAAGAGACAGCTTAAGGAAATAACAAGCAAACAAGAATGGAATTCAAATCATGATTGGTGCTCGAAGAATGACCTCGCATAGGAAAGTTTTGAACCCAAAACCTTTGCAAGTCAACTACTGAGTGACACCACACAGGAGAGGAAGTTTGTCGTCAAAATGTTCCAAGAATTCAATAAGAAAGTTTTCTACTACAAGATTAATTAATGGACAATGAGAGAAGACAAATTTCACCTTGTAGTTCGCAAGATTGGAAGATATTTGGTGAAGAACTCGAACATTTTCCTCCAATAGATGCCTTGTTGTGTCACTGATTATTGGAACTAACCGCAAAAAAATATGCGTTAATCAGTAATGAATAAATATAATGCATATTTGAAAAATAGACATTCATCAAAATTTATTTTTTTCCTTAAAAAAAAGATGCTTTGATTAAGTTTTAAACTGCAAGCATTGCATGCATTTTCTTCCATACTAAATCTAGTTAGGGGAAATTCTGAGCAATTGCATGGGCATTCTCTCATTTATTTTGTTAAAATTCAAACAATTTTCCTTTTTGATTTCAAAATCCAAAGTCCCAAATTTCAAAGTATGTGCAATAGTGACAAGAACTACGACCCACCTTCACAAGATTGGACCTTGTTGTTGTCTACATTTTGAAACGTATATGCATATGGAGAAATGTTGTAAGGTAGGACTGGGGGGATACTTGTCCTCAAGGAAGAATCCACCATCTTTTCCTGAAAAGTCAAGTATCTTTTTAGTTCCATTGGTCCTCCAGAATATAAGATCCAACAAACTTGAGAAGATGCGGAACATGCAATCAAAACAAGGAAATAAAAAACATTTATAGAAAGTTATAATTAATGTGACTGTAGATAAATAATGTCTTTGGCATAATGAAATAGTGATAACTTTAATAAAAAAAAGTCAAAACCACAGATCGAAGAAATACAAAGTACATTGTCTTGCAAGCCTACAATGGAACATTATGTTTCCCATCAAAATATAAATTATGAAAGGAAGTAGAATCCGGAATACAGAAAGAATAGTTTTTTCAGCTGGAGGCCACGTGGGAAATCAGTGGTATACACATCAACGCGGCATAACCTCAGATATTTGAATTACCAAAGCAGCATTTTGAGGCATAACCTCACCTCTCAGACTATCAAACCACCATAGCACAGTCCCTAAACTATATGTTTACTGGAAGCATTCCTAGGAGAAAGATTTAAAGACTTATTGTGAAGATAAATGTTTAATGGACTATCCTCAGATCAGCACTGTTCAAGACAGTCCAAGTTAGTGCTTCCACAAAAAAAAAGAAAAAAAAAGAAAAAGAAAAAAGACACGCAGACACACAAAAATTTAACAACTACTTTCAGGCAATCAGAATAACTGTCTTGAGTTCTTTTGACTCCTTCCATATCAATGGGAAGAAATGGAAACAAGTTCTCATCAATGTTAATGAGATTGTGAAGGGGGGGGCACATATCATCATTGCTAAGGTTAAGCAAAAGAAAGAACATAAAGGAAAAGAAAAGAAAAGAAAAGAAAAGCTGAGAAGGCTGAAGAAAGTATACACGCTATTATTTGTCTCTACAAATGGTGGCAGAAGTAGCAAGAAAGTTTGAGAGCATGCCATCACCCTCTTAAATTGGGGGCCAAAAAAGTGATATAACCCTTCAAAGTAATTTGAAAGTGATATTTTAAGGGTACACTGGACCGAAAAATATTGAAGGCCCAAGTATCATAAAGATAAAGATGATGAAATGGGCTATGCAATTTAAAGGAAAAACCACTTTTTCAGGTAAAACACCTAGGTGCACTCCGAATATGATTTGGTGCAAACAAAATTTCACCGTGAAGCAAAATTTCATCTTGACATAGATATCCTTTATTTATTCCCATCATAAAGAAGCATGAATTTTCTATCGTCACTAGGCGAGGTAGGAAATCATGATATTCAGGCCTTTTCACGTTAGTGTAATTCTTATATTTCACAAAATTCTTTAACAAAACCAAAATAATTTTAAAAACAACATTTGCCACCTCCAAATGCAACAGAACAGGAAGATGAAATTTTTCCGATGATTATTGAACTCCCTTTCTTCTGAGTGCCTCATATCAGATGACCATAATCTACCTTAATCTTTTGGAAACTACAACTAGCACCAAACAAATACTGTCAGATCTTACAATAGACAACAGCAGGCTGATACTCCCAAGATATTAACTTTTAAATATTCACTCGGAATGGGCTCAACTCTAGGTGGTCAGGGAGACCAGGTACCATAACATGACATTTTGAGTTCCATTCCTACCGCGGGTAGGGGACCCTATCTCCGCTGAACTATCAACAAAAACTTTTTAAGGATTCACACAGTATCTAATGGATTAATATCAAAATTCAACTATGATCCATATGAAGTTTATTACTATGAGGTAGTCAGCATAATAAAATAATTAGGTGACAGGCATGTATCTATAATTCTACGTAAACATTTCTTCGATAGTGTCCAAGTTCAATTAGTAGGTGATGGGGGTTGGAACATATTTGAAGTGTCTGTGCAGTGTGGTATAAATGTCGGATACACATACCAATTGGGTCACAAAAGAACATAAGAAAATGTTCATATTGAACAGCAAGTTACCTTCCGCTCTTTCAATTTCTTGCCGGTGTAAGTATCTTCAGGTTTTCTCCGTTTTCCATTCTCCTTCTTCTGCAAATGCCATGGAAAATTTCCAAGCACCCACCCTATTAGAGCAGACATGAGATATACTGCTGTAGATCGAACATAAAAATCATATTTCTGCTAGTAATAATGAAAATGTGGGCCAAAAATGATAACTTGAAAATGTTCACAAGTAGATATATAATTCTGATATTTCCTCACAATAGTACCACTGAAAAACATGACTCAAATTTGATTTCTGAGCAGATGAGAAGTAAAACATCTTAAACTAGTAGTCGTGTAGCCACGATTCTTACATCCTTTCCCATAAGGAAGAGCAGTACATGGATTATCTTCTTATGCATTTGGGATTACTCAAGGGTTATGAGTCATTGAAGGAAAAAATAGTATTTACGAAGTTCACAGGATCAGTTACGGTTTCTTCTAATAATGCCTAAAGACCTTTCAGGGAGTTTCAAAAGTGAAGTGACGGAACTGGCTAATCACCTCATGCTTTTCTTCTTGCCCTCCTCAATCCATAGTGGGATCTTCTCCCTAATCGATAAAAATAGAGGGGTGTTCTCTTACTCTGAGCCTTCGGTGGATTGAGAGATTCCTTAGACTTCTTTAGTCCCACATATGATGAAAATGGGAAATGTACCATGGAGATTGGAGGACATGATGGAATTTGGAGAAGGGTACATATTCAATGATTTGCGGAATAAGGGGGATTCATCACCTGAGATAGAAAGATATGGAAATCAAGATGCTAGTGGCCTACAGGTATCAGAATGCTCCACACTTCAATCCATTAATTGAGCATAAACATAGCATCTTTTCCTTCTCATGGACTAGAGAATGCACAAGTGCTTTTAATTCTTCTTCTTCATGTTTTTAGCTCTTTCTGCATTTTCATTTTGCATTTATCAATCAAATTCTTGGGAGATTTCCAACTCCACCATGGCCGGTCCCAATCCCGTATAAAGGAGGAGGATTGTGTTAGGTAGGTCGTTAGAGCAAAACTTTGCCATGTCTTTTCATGAATCTTGGACCTATAGAATGGTGGAACAGGATTTCTGTAATCGACCCCAAATAGTTGGGATAAGACTCAGATGATGATGAAATTCTTTAGAGATTTCCAAATAGTGTTCGTTGATATTGTCTTTTTAATTATCGTGAAGGAGCTAGAATCCTTCTTTAATCTTGTTTTACTACAAAGACTGGAAGCAAGACGTAACATGAAGATCGAAGGATATGACTTAGAGAGAAAAGGAGTGTATAGATCAGAGGTTGGAGAGTACAAAGCACGAGTTTTGTAATAGCATAGCAAGACTTAGTACCATGGAAAGATTCCACTAACAGAAGAGGAAAGTTGCCTGATGAGAACATTCGAGGAGTTGTAATATACAACATGCTGAAGGAGATAGATTTGAGGCAAAAGTCAAGCATTAGATGTTCACTAGAAGACGAGTATATTGTATTTTCCAGTATGAGACATAAAGGGAAGTCACACGCTCTCTAACAGAGGATGGTACTCTCAGAAGAATCCCTAGGATATTGATGACATGATTATGGCTTTTTTTGAGAGAATACATTTAGGTTCCCAAACTGGAAGAGCTGGAGTTTGCGTTATTACCATAGGAATTTGTGGCATTGCTGTAGTGAGAGTTTAACAAGAACATTTAATAAGAGTGCTATTTGGTTTTGGGCGATAGAGCTCCAGGGAATAATGGGGTTTACTACCAGAGATAATGGTGATGGTAACGAGGGAGGTGATGGAGCAATCAGACTGATTCTATTATAAGGCTAGGATGGATACATGTGCACCAAGAAATGGAGGAAATCTGGAAACAGCATTTCTCTCTTATAGTTTATGTGAGGAAAATGTTCTCCACTCGCTATCACCAGATTCACCATCTTTTTCCAATAATGAATGTTCTTTGATTATTCCCATAACATGTAACCTTCAAATCAACTTTATTTTGTGCAAATCATTATACACTACCATGCACTTCTTTGAGAATCAATATTATGAACTATTTTTTGCACATGCAAGCATATATTAATTCATACACACAACCACATGCTGAGTGCAACAACATTCATACGAATAGTAAACTGCACAACAATTACAGAAAGATCCCAATAGTCCTATTTAAAGATGTTTGTTGCTTTTCCAGTGTTACTTCTAGCTTATGGCTTAAATATTTGACCCAGGGAGTAATTGGTTCAAGTAAACACAATAGTTGACCAAGATAAGTTCAAGTCTAATGCTTTCAGACCATGGAGAGATACAGAGGAAATCATATGAAATTAAGGGTATTGAACTTGATTATATGAATAGCATAGTGATGTCAAACTCAGAAAGAATCATAACAGAAACATACTCAGTATTATGTTTTTTGAAGCTGGGGTTTATAAGCTCAAGCTAGTCTCCTATTTCATTGGCTCCACTACTTCTAATTTTATTTTAACTTTTAATTAGATATTTATTTTAACTGCACAAAATCGGTTCAAAGAACTCCAATAAGCAGTCTCCTCCAACAGACTGATGACCAAATCAAATCTCCAGTACTTCTAATTTTATTTTAACTTTTAATTAGATAATTATTCTACTCTAAATGTTTTCAACCAAAACAATGAATAATGCATCTCTAGCTATCAACTGAAATTAATACTTCTCGGAATTCCACAGAGAGAAAAAACAACAAATGAAAGACAAACTAGTGCTTCTTGCACAAAGCACGCACTAAAACACCTTACGGCAGTTAGGATTCAGTGCAGTTTCTACCAAAATAATTTTATTTAAGTATTCTTCATCAGTAAAAGCAGAGAAATGTCTAAAGTCTCTGAGCAACCTAACCTGGCATTCTATGTTCCAACTAATATCATAACAAGGAAAATTCTTGAAGATAAAACCACAATCAAATTATGGTAAGAAAGTGTCAATTTATATCTTCTCTTTAAAGGAAAGGGGAAGTACACCCAACATAAAAAGTTAAATACGTGGAAGAAACACACAAAAAAAAATCCAGTAAACTTCACCTGTTTTCTTGCTTCTTGATATTTTATTGCAAAAACTTCTTATCAACAATTGGAACATAGTTTTCACTTTGCTCTTGGAGAAATTACAAAGCCCCGTATTATGAAATCAAAACAATTAACTCACCGTCATCCACCGGCATCTGAGAGCCACATCCCTCACGGTCTTGTCTGGCAATTGAGCTGCAATCTTGATGTACCTCATAATATTTGATTCCTCAGAGAGTCTGAAAATGCATAATAATAAGTGAGGACACTGGCAACAGGCATATTAAAAAAAAGACTGGTAAGTAGAAGCAAAATTTCAGTATCAAACAAAGTAGATGAGCGTCCCTACGACCAATTTGTCATGTGATTATAAATTAACTCACATAAAAAAGAAAAAAGGAGAACACTTATAGCATTCTTTGTGGTTTCAATTTTGGAGGAAAATGCATAAACCATAAATATGTTGCCCAATAAGGATTGACAGGGAGAAAATTGGTTGAATTCAACATCCTTGCAACCCTCCTATGTACTGTTTCTATTTTTTGAGCAAGATTTCAATAATGCTTTTAGCAAGATAAAATTTCGAGTTCTTATTTTCATAACATGTTATGTTTAATTAAAAAAAGAAATAAAATCCTCGCAATACTGGTAAGTTTTTTTTATTTATTAAAAAAGGCAATCCTGGTAAATTCATACAGAGAAGCTTTTCCCTACTGAGCATATTTAATCAAAAAATTGAGACCCACATTTCAAAGCCAGGTCAAATATAAAATAGATTTTGTGCATTACAGTCAAATAACAGTCCTATTTGGTTCTCTGCCATGTCCGGGATGCCCACTTGTAGATAGATAAATCGGCAAGGAGTAATTGGTTAACAACTTGGGAGCAACAGTGAAATAAATGAGCAGACCAACACGTCAAAGAGCGACCACAAATTCATGCCACGAGCCCAAAGATTTGGTAATTAAATACAAACAAGAATCTACAAGTGGACTCTGCCTCCCAACAATGGCTAAAGAACGTCACAATTGAAGAAAGAGAAATTCTTCGAGGCCCACAATGGACAACGAAAACACCAATATTTGTTAAAACCATAGTCCAGGAGAATCTGGTCACAAGCCACTTGTAAAAAAAAAGAACAAATTCTTCAAAGGCATGCCACTTGCTGCACTAGCATGCGATTCACGACGACCATTTAGAAAGAGAAAGCAGTCAATGAGAGCCCACAGATACAAAACAAAAAAGAAACCTATTGTCGGCGATCTCATGCAAAACAGATTCATGCAAGAAATATCAATCAACATTCTCCAATTCTACGGCGAACCTCACTGTACATAAAAGACCTTTCTCTATTCATTTTGCAATTACCAGTGCTTTTTTGAATTACGAAAGCATGGAAAGGGAAGATAAAATGGGGAAAAAATGAAATAACTCAACCGACATGGTTAATGGAGAAAGGAGAAAATTAATAAATTATGGACAAAGAAGAGAAAAAATCGAACAGAGTACGAGAGACTGCGTGCATGCATGAAAAAACTAGCTTTCTACATATCAAAATGGACAATTCTCACAACCAAATTAACAAGAAAGAAAAAAAACCGTAACAAAATAGGAAAAAAAAGAAAATTGAAATAAGAAACCGTAATAAATACGACTGGGATAGAAGAAGAAATACGAAATATTTCTGACAACCAAAGCAACAGCAAAGAAAAAAACCAATTACTGTAACAATGGAAAATAAGCTTGGAGAACAAAAAAACCAGAACTAACAAAGAATTCAAGAGACTCAATTACACCAGCTACTGACAACAAGGCAAAAAATCAACCCACTCCCCCGAAAAGGAAAAGAAACCTAGAGAGAGACCAAACACCTACCTACTTGACGAAGGTGCAAAGTAGTGAACCTAACAGAAAAATAAACAAAATCTAGAGAGAGACATATATAGGGACACTTACCTGCCAAGGCCCTCCTCCAAAATAGATTGCTCCTCAATAGACCACTCCACGGCCAATCCAGTGTCATGCTTGAGGCCTGGAGATGACTCTGAACTCATGGAAGCTGAGCTATTTATCGCCCCTGAACCAAACGAAATTGCATGTCTATTGAACATGGAGTGGTGAACCCCCATGTTCGAATTAGCCGCCATTTCCCCCCAAAAAATTGAAAAACCCTAGCTCATTCCCCTCAAATCACCCGCCAATTCATCAGAAATCCCTAAAAACAAATTAAAAACCACCTACTCTCTCTCTCTAAAAAAACCGCCTTTTTTCGTGAGCTGTAGCTGTATGGGTGGCTCAGAAGGTTTCCACCAATGAAAATTAACACAAACTCTCTCTACCAAATCTCTCTCTCTCTCTGCAGACGCTCTTTCTCTCTCTAAAAAGTCCCAGAAGTGAGGACGGTATAAGTACCTTTGGACAAAGAAACCCTAGAAATGGAGCTAAATAATTGGAGCGAAGAAAGTTAGAACGCCTTGGAATTCAGCGAAAGTACAGATCCCAAGAAGCATTTAAGCCAATTATTGCAGAAGAGAGGGAAAACGACATTGGATTTGCCCCCTCCCCCTAGGGTGGCCGCGGCGTTTTCACCGCCACCTCCACTGGCCTCCTCTTCTAGAGAGAGAGGCCGAGCTCCCCCGTAGAGAGAGAAAGCCGAACTCTTGCTCTGGAGAGAGAAAGCCGGGCGCTTTTGTAGAGAGAGAAAGCTGAGAGCTCCTTCCTGGTTTCGCCTTGTGCCCTCTCACGGTTGAAACTTGTACAACCCCCATTTGGTTCCATAAATTCAATTGTTTGCGCGTGTATTTTGCGCAGCAAAAAGTTGGACAAATATTTATTCGATTATTTCCATTCTTGTTTTTTGTTATAACCCCACCCATGATATTTTCAGTAATCCACCAATAACGGTAGAATAATTGCACTGCTCACCACGTGATAACGTCCCAAATAACAAATAAAAGGTTTGTGTATGGCCGTGGTTCTGATCTTGTAGAAAATTGTTGTTCGAGTTTTGGCAAAGCATCATACTCATCTCGGTCCTCTAGAATGGGATATGAAAAGGGACAGTATATAATGAAACCATTTACCTACTTTTGGTACAAGGTAGTCACAACTAATCTGGACTATTGGATGTGAAATTTAGTGGTTGTATTTATTTTATTAACCAAAATCAAAGTTTAAAAGAAATTTTATCGGACATTAGCGAAAGTTCAAATTAGATGGTTGTAAGTATTTGTGATCTCCCTATACAAAAGGTAGATGGTCTCATTGTATACAATCTCGTATAAAAATGTATTCTAAACCCTAAAAATAGTTTATCGTGTAATGTATCATTTGAAACATGCATTTTCAATTGTTCAAAGAACCACCAAATATGTACTAATTTTCTAGCTTCAAATTCAATGGTGGGATAGATATAGAGGTTATTAAATAGGTTTTTGGCACCGGAATTCAGTTTTTTGACAGGATTTTGGGTAACGGCTTTACTTTTAATCATAATGCTTAGACCTTGCGCTAACCATACCCAAATAACAGCTAGTAAAACATTTCAAAGTAAGAGAAAAAAGATGATTTTTTCGAGAAAAATAGCAAAAAAATAAAATCGTAACACATTTCAAAATAAATAATGTGAAATGACGGCTGTTATAACACATTTTAAAATAACATTTGTTATGTGAAATGATGGCCTACATAAAGATAACGCCCAATCTTTACGTGATTTATTTGTGATGAATATGTATAATGTAACGTCATTACCAAAGTGGCATGTGTTATACCCAATGTAATATCCGTTATGAAAGGGCCTCGAGGTCTTCATAACGGCTACAGACTCGAACAACGAAAGGCCAAAAAAAAAGGCAAACTGGTTAGTGCCATAGAATTTGACTCATTATTTTCTATTGATAAATTTTCCTACCACTCCATTCTTTCTCTTCCCGGAGTACGCCTTTTTCACAATTCACTACGATAACGGATTTCCACCGTTGTATAAAAGCAGACGGCCTTGGCCGTTATTTTAAAATCTGAGCCTTGGCTTGTATTTCCACCCGCTTTTTCAGTGGAGAAAAGCAAAAGTTGGGGGTGCAATCTTAAAAAAGAGTGGGTGGCAGGAGTAGACGGGAGGGGAGTGAATTTATTCATGTATAGCGTAATGAGCCGTAATCATCCCTGTGGCCACTATGGCGGGTGGGGCCCACGGCCCATGTGAAGGCTCTTTCCCACTTACTACTCCCATTTTGCAGGCCATTTTAAATCGCCCACTCCCTTTGTTTTTATGTTCCCACTCCAATAGCTTCCCTTCTTTTTTTTTATTACAGGCGCATAAATTATGCTCCTGCGGGAGCATCAATATCTCTACTTCCTATTCCCATGGTTACACTTAACTCTTTTGGGGAAAAAAAAACATCAAAAATTTTGGGAAACCACCTAAGAATCACTCTGAACATTATTTTCAAAAGAAAAAAAATGAATCTTAATTTTTCTAACACTTACATCAACTTGGATGATCTCTATTCAATAATATTGAGACAGTATTCGATTTTTGAAAAATCGGTCGACTAACTTGGGATCGGCCAGTTGCCGATCCCGATCTGGCCCAATCAACGGTCATGTATGTATGAATTTTTTTCAATGCATTAATCAGCAGACTAATCTAACTAATCGGCATTAATCAGAACTAATCAGCCACTAATCGGAGACTAATCTAACTAATCGGCATTAATCAGAACTAATCAGCCACTAATCGGCGATTTGTCCAAAAAATCGGTTGAGAAGTGCATTGTCACATGGCGGAGTTTGCAATTTTTGTTATATATTTTCCCTTTTTTTTTCCCCATTTTTTTATGGACACACAGTTTCTATGCGGCCAGCTTACATATTGTAGAAATGCAGACTTCGCATAAATATATAATTCGATCCTAATGACAAATTAGGATTCATGCAGTTGATTTTAAATAGTTAGGAAAAGGTTCAGATGATGATGATGTGGTTTTACCTAGTGAAATAAATAAATAGTATACTTCCACAGAAGCATAAAATCTATTGGCTCTTATTATTGTGTTTGTGTTAAATGTTGCTCCCTTAAAAGGGGCTTCCTCAACATAGTTATGGAGACTAGACTAGACCACCTAGTCTGACCGGTCGAACTGTCGACCGGTGTCTTGACTAGTTGGGTCTAAAGTAAATATGATTTGTTAAAAAATAGGTCAAAATCGATGTTTGCTTGATTTTGGCTAACTGAATATCTAGTCTTGACCAATTCGACCAACTAGACAAAGCTGAAATTTTTTTCTAATATATTTTATAATTTTAAATTATTTTCTTATATTTTTAAAAATTATGGTTTAACTGGTTTGACCAATTATCGTAACGGTTTTTATTAGACTAGATGCTTCATCAGTTTGGTGGAAGGTTCAATCCTGATAAGTATATGTAAGAAAATATTTATATAAGAAAATATAATATTATAGAAAAATATTTACTTAGAGTGTTATTTTTATAGTAAGTAATATTGAAGGGAATATTGTTTATTTTAATTAGAAAATGTAGATTTAACATTGTTCTTGTACCACCCACCGCCAACTTTGGACGATGGGGGGCAAGTTCATATGTAGGTCGGCCCTCATATGAACTTTATCTTCGTTTTAAATCATGTGTTAACACCCACATATGAACTTTATCTTCGTTTTAAATCATGTGTTAACATCCACATATGAACTTTATCTTCGTTTTAAATCATGTGTTAAATTGATGTTGTCTAATTAAAATAAATGGTATAGAAAGTTAGAACCATACTTATATAAGTAAGGTTGCTGCCTCATGGAATTTGCACACGAATTGCGTAATATAATATTACTTAATTTTGTCATTAACAAGGTCAATCGCATCTAGCCATCGGACAATAAATTTGGTGGCTAGGCATATGTCACAAGGTTCAAGAAATATCATTGGTATTTTGAGCCTGGGTGATCGTATACTTACCGCTATTTGATTTTGCATCTAATGGTGTTATCAATGATGTAACTTCTACAAAGAAATGAACTTAGTTGTTTTCATCAAATTTTCCCTCTTTTGTGCACTTAAGCCTAGTTCTAAGGGCTCCTTTTCTAGCTCAAAGTGATAAAAATGCAATTTAGACTTGCAACAGACGTGGTGCACTTTACCCTATTTATTAGCAAACTCTGCGATTAAGAGGGGTTTTGCAGTACGCGCACGTACACATATGTACACACACATGTATAGTTAAGTGTTATATGCGTCCGGGGACACATTTACATTTTCTTCCCTCGAGGCATAAACCATCCATCTTATTAAGTGTTGTATGCTTCGGGGGACACATTTACATTTTTTTCCCTCGAAGCATAAATCATCCATCTTAAAGATGAATGTAAATGGTGCTCCCTCGAAAAAACATTAAAACCAATGGTCAATAAATTTCTTTTAAATTTTTTTTCTGGTTTTTTAAATTTAATGATTATTACATATTATTGATCTCCATATTAGATATTATACACTCCTTAAAAATTAGGGCCAAAATCCATGTAAAAAATAGACTAATAATAGAGGGCTGTATTTCTATATATGACTCTGTATCTCACACACCTCATGTGGATGATATCACGCTTTCTTAATTGCAAAAAATACCCTTATTACAAAATTGCTCAATGTATAAAACAATGGTACATAAATGTCCAAAATTGTTGAGTACAATGATAAATTACTCAATAGTGTGAGCACCCTCATATTGAATTTGGGCCGATCAAATGATCGCGATTGTATTTTGTATTTTAATTTTAATTTTTTTATAACTACAAATCACTTAAAAATTGAAGCATGTGTTATTTAAAAATAGGAAAATGTAATAAAAATATTTCGCGAGAAATAAATTGATCAAAATACCTTTGAAACTTTTCTAGGGTATTTTGATCAATTTATATCTTGCGAATTAGTTTTTTAATATTTTTATTAGGTACGCCTTGATGAGAATAATAGATGCCTAAAATTTCACATGATTTGTATTTGTAGAAATAAAATTAAAATTTAAATACAAAATGATGTCATATTTGTCTGATCGTCTTAGATTCAATCTGGGCCGTTGGGCTCATATGTAGTTGTAGGCCCATTGGCATACGTTAGCATTTTTTTTTTTCTCTCTTTCTCTCTCTCTCTCT